AGACACCAGGCGCCAGACACACGCCCGACGGCTGGCTTGCCGCCCTCGACTAGCCCCCCCTTTTGACAGGCCACATCCCGGCTCCAAAAAGGGACAAGAGGGGACAGGGCTGCAGGGGGAATGCAAGATGCAGCCATCTCGCCAGGGTTCTTGTCCAAAACGAGCAGTCACTTCCAGGGGCCCCCAGAAGATCCTAGAGGACCCTCGTTGCGCTGTGTTTGTCAAAATCAACATTCTCGACCGCCACGCTTCTCATTCGCTCAACCAACAACGCTGCCCACGAGTCCAGAGCCGGACAACGGAAACGGGTCACGGAAACCGACCCAAGATACGCTCGGTTTCCAGAAGAACAAGCCTCCACAGCCAACCGACGGCGGACAATTACCACGCGTGGCAGGCCGGCCGCCCCCATCGATCCGCCCTCCGGTGCAACCAAGGCAGCCACCAAATGCCACGCTCCTCCCGCTCTGCTGCTCACCGGCGTGATGCTTGGTCACCACCTCGGGTCCGAATCGTCAAGACTCGGTCAGCGAGAAAGGGACGCCCATTTCCCCAATCGCCTTATCAAGGCCGTTGAAATCACGGTTCCAGCTGGTCCAATCGTGCCATCCAACGAGTGCGCCGTCGTCGACTTGAAAGCGCCCACTCATTTGCGCCCACCTGGAAGCACTTGCATGCAGACACCCATGGCTTCCCCTGAATTGCTGCAGACACCAACTTAGCAACCAGAGGTCCGTGCAATTGCGCGACTCGCTGCCCGCTTTCTTCTTGCTGCTCATTCGCCCGCCTCGACACCCTCCCGACCGCCGACGACACCACCACCATCCTCCGGGCTCTTTCCGCGCCGGCGCGCTCAGAGGCAACAGTTCCACCGTCCGCCGCCCTCCTTGTCAGTCGCCATGACTGAGGACCTGCTGTGGGATTACAGGATGGCGGGATGGAACAACCTCTGGGCCACCGTCCGACACCCTGAGAGGCCCAGCGCCTAGCGACTGGTTTGAGGAATGATTGTCATGCCAAACGGCGCATCGTCAACGGAGAAAACGGTCCTAAATTTCAGCATGAGGGCCACTGGCTGTCTGGATCCCAGTGGCCAATCTGCCGTTTCCAGAATGATATCCGTCCGAATGCCAATAGTCGAGGCCATCAAGTGCCGGTGTCTTAGTGAGGGGCATTAATTGTCCGCAGTCAGTTCTGCGACACGCTCCCACTCTACCGACGCGGTGCTGACCACCTTTGGTCCGGGGATGACCAACCGTCATAAGCTCTGCCAATCGCCTCGCCCAGATGCCTCTGATGAGTCCGCAACACGTTGGTTCACCACCAACCACTGCCTTTCAGTGGTCCAGATGCCTTGCAAACTGCATACACCTCGGCGGGCCATGGCGTCCCGGCTACACCACCAGTGGCGGTTTCTCCCCGCGATCATAGACCGGTTCCAAACGCATGCCAACGGTTCCGCCTGCAATTTGCGGGACAGGAGGCCGTCACTGACCAACAGTTCCCCGTTCGAGTTAAGGGTGAGCTCGGCCCCTATTCCCGCTTCTATCCAAACCCGCCTTCTAGCGACTCAATCTCCAACACCGGCGGCCCCCATCCTGAATTTGCCCGCACTAACTCTACGAAACCCAAAACACACCGACAAGCTTCCATGTAGACAACCTCCCCGCCATCGTTCCATCGTTAAACGAACCTTCTATTCCGACGTCAAGTTAAGGGTCATGTGCGTCAAAGCGCGAACCGTTGCCATTGCACGAGAAACATGACGAACATTTCTTCAGCCACCACACGCGCCTCTGGCCCGTTTGCCCTGCGCAACACTCCTCTCCTGGAGCTAATCATACATGAATGTTTTCTGAGCACGCGGCTGCGATGCGCCAATCTCCTGGAGAAAGGGTGCCTAGGCGAAATGAAGACGTTATCGCGATAACCAACAACCATTTGCTAGGCTGTGCTCTGGTCGTCCAGAATAGCACATGCGGCATTGGGGCCAGTCCAAGCAAACACGTTTCGATCTCCGAGGATGCCAATCATTTGCCATGGCCGGCGTCGATCTGAAGATCAACCACCGCTCGTCTACTGAAGAATCCGATCTTCAAAGGTCTTCAATCCGATGCGACACTCCTCCACAATCCTTCTCGGCGCGTCGACGCTCCGTGCAACCCGGCAAAGCATGCCGTCATCGCCGCGTCCCGTCGGCCTCCGCACGTCCTCGCTCATTGAATGCAAGGGCCATCCCAACATCGGTCCCAAGAACCACAAAGGACCGCTCGTTTGCCCTCAACTTTTCCCCATGCGCAAATTACTTTCCGGTTTGTGGTTGCGAACCGCCCCCAATTCCATAGCTACCTTCCAGGTTGGCAGCTGCAGCTCGGAACTCTGGAATACTGGGACTCCCCAATCTGGGATCCTCCAGAACCGCTGCAACTGCAATCCCATCTTTCATCTTGTTTGCTCCGTTACTTTGAAGTACTCTTGCACCCTCCATTCTCCTCTCACGTCCTTACCCGGAATGAGCTGGTTGCACCCGCGCCACCTGCTGCATGACAGAACGAGCGACGCTGAAACAAACGGGCCGTACAGCTTGCTTGCTTGTCCGTCGCTGCAGCTTTCAGGTGGGCGTCTGCTGTGATCGGATGCTACCACGACGGGCGGGACCTCGCATGGCGACGGAACCGACTCGCTGGATTGCGGCGTCGTTGACTCGAACCATAGCATGTCAAACGCATTGCTGCCCGGCGCGAATGAGGAGCCCCGACCGACTTTTGGATGCCAAGTATCGGACTGAGTAATGTTTGGGTTGTCTACGAGAAGGATGTAACAGCTAACGAGTTTGTGTAACAATCCTGATCACGACGGAGCTTCTCCTCAGCGCAACGTCTGGTCAAGTGACCATGACATCGCGCGGCAGTGCCCAAGTAGTTGTGTTGGCATATAAAAGTAATCAGCCCGTTCACCGAAATAGTTGGTGAAACGGTTTTGTTTGCTTAGTGATGTTATGGCAGAATGAGTAATTTCTTCCGAACTATGACGCAACCAATGAACCGTGTTAAACACACTTGCGGCCTTAATCAGACTTCTATATTGCTAGCGAACTCTCCAGCTGTGTATCAGCTCGTGACATGATACATAAATGGCTGGTCTATGGCCAGCCTTTTGTTTTTTGCTGCTTTGGAGGGGGAGCATTGGACAAGCGATCTGGTATGTATGTTGTGTCATTAATAAATGCGTCGAGAAGACCCACGGACAGCTTTCGCTTCACCGCAACTGCGTCATTTGTAAGAGTAGCAGCCTTCTTCGGTGCAACCTTTTCCTTCGCAGTTTGCAGCCTGGAGGCGCACCTTGTTAATCCATCCCAGCGTGCGCCGCTTTTCACCAAAAGCTTGATGATCCGGTTATTGTGATTCAACCGCGCCATACGCATTGCCCCGTAGAAATTCCGCTTGCTCTCTGCATAATCAGATGTCTTCTCAAGACCAAAGTGCTTGATCAATTTTCTCATGGTTGACCGTCGATCCCAGAGTGCGCAGGCCTCTAACGCATCTTGATCCCCGGGGCCCAGAACCACGGGCTTTTCGAGGAGCAACCCGACAACTTTATCATGGCCGCCTAATGACGCAGCTCTGAGGGCCGAGCCGCAATGACCAATGGAAAGAGGATCAGCCCCTCGCTGGAGGAGAACACGCACCCACCGGACTGATCCCCCAAGACAGGCTGCCTGCAAAGGATTTCCAAACAGCCCACCTTGCTCGTTCACATCTGGCATTGCCTCTAGAAGAGACTTGATTCTTCCCGCGGGCTCGCCCGTGTAAAGAGCTGCTTGAAGAGCGTCATTTTTTTCTAGGTGTGCTTCGTAGCATCATTAGCCCAAGAAGTGTTGGTGAAAGGGGGCTAAGACACTTACAATCGGGTAGAATATCCTGTGACTTCCCTGGATCGTCAAAATATCGTTGGAGAAGAGACTTCAAAGCTCCATGGTATCCATTGTATGAAGCTGCTCTAATCAATGTCCCCAGATTGGTCGATTTATGGCATGTATCATTGTCGACTAGCAACTGAATCGTTGGCTCATGCCCTCCAGAGAACGCCGCGTGGAGCGCCGTATCGAAAAAGCCCTTTGCCAACGGATCAGCACCGTTTTCCATCAGAACTTGAACAGCTCGGGTATTGCCATGGAATGATGCGGCCTGGATGGGCGTTCCGTAGTGTCCCTCAGTTGTGTTGACAGATGCGCCTTGCATGAGAAGAAATTCGAGTGTATCGTCCCGTCCCCACGAAGCACTCAGGGTAACCGCTGAAACTCCATCTTTATTCCTCATATTCCAGTCGATTTCATCGGACTTCTTTGCGAGCTGCCTTGTTATACCAGTAATCCCGTAAACTGAAGCCACAAAGATTGGGGAGTGACTGGGTGACTGGCAGTCATTCAGCTCCCACCACAAATGTGTGACCGCGCTAGGCTTCGACGCCCTGGACGGCTGGTAAATGAGCTTGAGCACATCTTCGAGCCACATATTGTGCCTGTATCCTTGATCGCCGAAGACAAATTGGAGAACCTCTGCCTCAGCCTTTGACCTCCGTTCGACGCATTCTATCATCGAGTAGTGGCGCGGCCAGTAGCATACGGCATAGAACCAAAACGAAACTGGCACAGTATCTTGCTCATCGTTATCCGCGTCTCTAGCAAATAATCGAATGTTATCGGGAATAGCCGTCCCCGCCGAGCGCGATGGGTTGCCGGGCGAAAATAGCCTCAAATCGCGATATTGCCTGGTCAGGTACTTCAGACATCGTGACATTGCTACATGATGCAAGTCAGATGGCTGAAACTCTTCGCGTCTAGCAATGTATTCTCGAATGGTGTCATGGGCAAATGAGAAGGAGCAGGGGTCCGTAAAGTCAACGAACCCACGGCAAAGATTTCTGACGTCCTCTAGATTGAGAGTATTTTCCTGGATATTTCTTTAGCTGAAGTAAGGGTTGTGAAAGTTTGATTTGACCTACACCTATGAAGTCATCATGTGTCTCGCTATATGTTGATACCGAAATCATGTCTAAAAGTTCCGACTGGGAGATCCGACGTTCGGAGATGAGAAGGCACCCAAATACAGTATTCGTGATAGCTTTTGCCCTCGGTCGATATTTGAGTACGCGCTGATACATCTCCTCCAAGATGTTCATGATAGAAGTCGGCGCACGTAACGTCTCAAGCTCCTCGTCTACATCGGCTTTGAGCGCGAATTCTGGACCACAGAGCTGTTCTAGGTTTAGAGATGCCCACAGGAACATCCCGTATGAGACACTAATCAACGCTTCGATGACGCGACTCTCTAGCTCTTGACATACTTGTTGTCCCCCGAGCAGCCTTTTGTACCGCACGGCTGCGTTGACCTTGTCCTTGACAAAGGTAGAGATATCTTGAGCAATGTCAGCGGACGTGACTTGGATCGATTTGAAACTCTGCTGTAAATGAATGTCAACCGGCGTCTCCGCACGACTTGAAACAAAAAGTTTCACGATGTTTTGTGATTCCTCCATGATGCGCTGGAGAGTGTCGAGGAGATCACGAATTTCTCCCTGGGCCTCGTCCAACCCGTCGACGATGATTGTTACCGGGTAATCGGCCGTGATCAAGATAATAAGCTCCTGGCAATCGTCCAGAGACAGGGGGATCGGCTCCAGTCCTTGTGCGTCATTCACTCGGCGGCAAAACTCATCCCGCACTGAGTGATAGACGCCTCGTTCCGGCCCAAAAAAGGCCAACTGCTTCAAAATGGAGCCCATGATTATGGGAGGAGTAGGTGGACTTCCGTCGATGCCCGACCTGGAGCAGTAACAGAAAGCCACCGGTGCAGCGTTCGCATTGCAAGAAACACGATCGCGGTGCTGCTGCACTACTAAAGACGAGAGCTTGCTTTTGCCGCAGCCAGGTACGCCGTGGAGCCACAGGGTGGAAGAACAACTCGAATCGCGCCATTCAATGTACTCCTTTTTTCTAAGCAGCCACTGGCCCGTATCTGGAACCAGGCGGTGCACTTGCTTGTGTACGTACTCGTGACGAATCCTTGACAACCATATGGCGAGACGCGCTTGTTCCTTGGCTTTCATGTTGTTTGCGATGAGATCGAGCGTACCGATGATTCTCACGATTGGCTGCTCCAAATCTTTTAAAATAGCCAACAAAGAAATGAAGTTTGCGTCCATAGTCTCCAATACACCGGCCATTGTCGAAACCGTTTGGTCTTGTATGGCGGTAGCGAGTTGGAGCACCGCTTGCTCTTTCTGTGAAATGGATGTCAATGTCGGAGCTGGTGACATGATCGCAGCCAAGCAACGTCTGCCAACTGGCTTGGCGTAGTACACACCAGCCTTCGAAAGCCATTCCAATATGACTGCGTATAGTGACACCAAAGCATCACGGAGCATGGTGTGGGGTTGTCGTAATGGAAAGCTGCGCGGGGTAAGGTATAGCCCCTCGTAAATGGCGCAACGAGCTATGAGGTGGGAAATCGTCTCGATGCCCTCTGCAATGGCACCAAGAGTCTCCGTATCGTTGATTGCTATCTGAAGCAGCATCCGCACTCCGGCCCAAGGAAGTGCGGCGTGGGCGGGGTCGTACTGGGTCGCGACATCGCCGACCTCCTTGAACTTTTGAAGCCATTTGACCACCTTCTCAAAGATGTCTCTGAGTACGATGACATCGCCGTTTGAGCGTTTGAACTTCAATCTTCGATCCATGCATTGTTGTTGTTTCGCATATACCAGCTCGAGGAGCTGCTGAGAAAGAGTGTTGTTTTCAACAACCACTTTGGCAAGCTGAGCCTCCTCGTCATGTGTCAATCGCTTCCTCGCAATATCCCAAAGATTAGATGGGACGTTGCCCGGAGCCTCCATGTCTTTAAATGGATGTCTTTATTGATTTTTGGAGTGCTGAGGCCATGAGAATCTCAAGTTTGTCGTGGTCGATGCACACTAGCGGATGTCGATTTCAGAAACTATGAGAGTGAGGGGGTTCAGGCTTACATGCGCAAGCGTGGTCAATGTCCACGTATTTATGTGCGAGGGGGAGCTTTTCGAATTCCCGACTGACGTGGCCTAAGGCAATTGAGACATGCAGTGTGGCGATGCGTGCTTGCTTGGGATACTTGCTCCATCTGCACACTTCATTGGTCGTATCTCCCTGATCACAATACGTTGTCAGCCAGCGGTCATGTCTGCTTCACTTGCCAAGCTTCTAGCTCTACTATGCTCGCGATATAAAGTCGAAGAACAGCATTGATTGAAGCACTTTGGGTGATGTTCATTGGACTGAAATACCCGAAACTTGGACATGAACGCGAGCCAGTCTAGCCTTCAAGCTCGCCATCTTCCTCGGCTCTCAGACTTTGACTGGTTTCTAGGTTCACCAGGGGCGTAAAGCTCCAATTTCACGAAAGATCTGCGCCTTAGAGTAAGGGAGGCTAAAGGTAGGCGCGCGCAACCCAGCCTCACGGTTGGTTTCTTGAGACTTCCTGACTGGAGGAAGCCAGTGGATTGCAACTTTTCTGTTGCACTGTACTGTAGTATTGAAAACGTGCAGCCTTCCAGGCCGGATATTTGGTCACTTCGTTCCTGACCTATAACGCAGACATGTAGGTGGCTCTTTCTCCATACAATGATTGAACATGAGCCAATCGTCAGCATCGTGTGTTCACGACCTAATGTTCAGCACGGTCTGCTGATAACTGAGTAAGAAAACTCGTCGCTCATGTCTTCAGTGGCCCTAGAGATCTCGAGCTTTGCTATCTTATCGACTGGTGGACTCAAACGTGATTGTTAGACGTCCTTGACATAAGACCTGCAGCTTGGTAGGCTAGTTTGACCGCTTATTCGAAAGACAAGATCCTGGGCTCCTCGTAACCTCCTTCCCAGGCTCTGAATATGAATCCATCGATCAAAGTCGGCCATGAATCGGGCAATGACAGCTCTCAACCGGACCGCTTATACAGCCAGCGCCATCTATCATTGATACAATGATGCTATATATTATCGAACAAATAAAGGGACCTCTTGATCAGTGCAGAAGAGAGCGCCGAACGTATTCGGGGCGTCCCTGTGGAGCATCGATTGTCTGCAAGATCGCCATGCACCAACGCTGCATTTTCAGTTCGATACCATGCAGGTCGCTTCAAACCTATGGGAAGATTTAAAGATTGACCATGTCAGTTTGAGATTTTCGGATTTATCTAGAACTGGCAACCACCAGAAGCTCCTGATTTCTCACGTCAGCAGGCTTCTCACTCGCTAGCCATTCGTTGTGTGGGTAGTGTCACCCCAGCGTCAGGCTGAGCTGAAGCGACGAGAGACACGGTCCGGCAATGGAAAAAGATGTGCGCACTTAAGCCCGCTTTCCTGCATGCATCTCAATTTGGACCAGTAACCCGAGGCACAGCCCACGTGCACTAATTCTCAAATTGATAAAGCTGCATCGGGCCCTGCCACGTTGAATACCACTCAATTTACCAGATTGAGAACAGTGACAGTTCCCAGCCAAATATCTTTACGAGAATCGCTCCGGACGAATGACCCTTCATCGGATATTCTATCAAGTATCACATCATCACTCAACATGGCCGAGGCCTTGGGATTAGCAGCAAGCGTGTTTGGGGTGGTAGATGTGGCGGTCAAGGTGACCAGCACTTATTTCAAGATTGTCAGTCTTTTGAATGCAGCCAAGCAAATCCCGATCGAGCTACGAGCGAAGACCGACAAAATCAAATTCCTTGAACATTTCCTTACGTATGCGGAAGACATGCTGTCAAAGACAGTAGTGCCAAAGTCTACTTGGGATGGAAGTCTTCTCGAAAGTCAGATCGTCAGTTGTCGCTCTGTGTTGAATGAGCTCAGGAATATGGTTGATCAAACTCAATCCCGACTCATGCATCCAACAAAACTACGCCAGAAGCTCGCTTTGACAAAAGCTGTGCTTCGTAAGGAAGATATAGAGGCCCTGGAGTCGAAGCTTGATGAAGCGATCCGGCTGTATAGATTAGTCCAGGACCAGTACATTCTGTAAGCCAACCACGTCCATGCGGGCATAAATCTTAACACTCACTGAACTATTTCAGAGCCATGGTAGTTTATTCTACGACAGCCAGCACTCTAGAATTGTCAAGCAATGATGGGAAGAAAGCTTTAGATGTGTCCGAAGTCGCGCATGGTTTAAACGCTACGGAAAATCGAACCCACCGAACACCTCAAACACCGCAATCTGGGATTCTCCAGATATCACACCAGCCAACCATTTTTGGACGATTTCAATTCGCCAGTTCAGCCGATGGGTGTTTCCAAGTTGCAGTTCAGACACCTAGCTGGATTGCCAGTTCCGTGTACTCCATCTTGGCCCATAGAGCAACAGCCGGCTGGCGGTTTCATCTAAGAGCATATGATGTAGTTACGGACTTTGACTGGGATCTCGAGCAACTGATGAAACAAGACGATGTTCAAGGCGTTTATAGGTATCTAGAGGAACACAGAATGTCGCCTTTCGTTCGGACTAGAAAGGGAGGAACCTTGCTTCAGGTAAGATTATTCCCACCGGGCGAGTGTCGGCTGTTCAATATCGTGCTAATGAACATGGGACAGGCAGCCGTGGACAAAGGAGCCGTTGATTTGACAGGGGCATTCCTCGATCGAGGCCTTGAGATGTACGCCTTTGAGACTTCCAGTGGAGGAATTTACGGGTACAATTCCTACTACAGTTCATCCCGAAGAGCTGATTCAATTCGCTGACCCGATCCATTAGCGTTCCATGGATCCTCATTTCTCTAGGGCTTTGTTTCGAGTCCGGCCTCGATGGCCCCGGTAGCCGATTCATTGAAATGTTTGGAGACCTCGGTTTGGATGATCTCCTCCATAATCATTTCAATCTTTTTGGTGTTACGCTCGGTGGTATACCCTTCGTGGGGTTCCGGGCTTTAACAGAAATATGTTGCTTCGATTATAAGAGTCTGCCCATTTTGGAAAGGCTTCATCACTTTCGCAACGTAGTCAGCAGCGGGACGTTGACCAAGGCCTGGGCACTGGAGTAACTGCTTTATTTGCTACCTGAAGGCAGAATTCCAGACGCACAAATTCTGAAAATTTCAAAGCCTGAAAGTCACGCGTCGTTGGTTCATAGCTTGGCCCTTGGCCTGGTTCACTGTCACGCAAGAAGAGAATGGGGCTCTGACGAAAATGGTCTTTGGAAGCGTGTGCTAGGCGTTTGCTTTCGGCTGGACCCTTCGGGGCTGCATCATCTGGATGAGCATTGGACTGAAAGCGGTGCAATGATCTGCACACCTCTTTCAGCGATGATATCTGGCTGGGTTCTCAATTGTATCGACAGCATTGTGGTGAACGAATTGCCAGCAGACATAACTTGGACATCATTAGAGTCAGCATTCCGACTCTGGGTTGACACAGCTGCTTCATCTGGGATAGATCTTCTGGCATACGGACGGAAAGAACGAAATCTACATGCTGAAGGGACGACTACCATTGTACAGAAGTTTCTTGGGGCTAGGTGCTGTCTCGAACGTGGAGCAATGCGGTTTTCGATCATGGGAATTACATACGGCGCTCTGCCAGAGCAATGGAGCCTCTGGGTCACGAATGAGAATTACGAGTACTCTGCAGACTTTTGGGATATGATCGACAACCAGCACTACAAGGTCCCTGGAAGTTGGATCGACGAGGTCTCAGATTACTTTGGAGAAGCAGATGATGTGTGGATTTGGGAAGCGGCTCCGACATTCATCTGGTCTGAATATCGCAAATCACGACCGCCTATCTAGTGAAAACATGGTTGCCGGTCAATTCTGTGAAAGATAATCGTGTAAAAAAAGAAAAACCAAGAAGTCTTGTATTGTATGAAGCTATAGGATGATATAGTCATACATTTGCAAGACGGCGTAGGCTTCGCTAAGCTACTCTCGTCTATCTAGCTTTGTTTTGTTACACCTGGGCTAATCCATACACCGAAACAGTGACATTGATGCACAAAAGAAAGTTCACAGTGTAGGATGGCAGCTTCCTGCCTTCGTCGCCGCAGCTTCGGGCCCGAAGTGGACCTACCTCGGCGCCCATGTGCGGGGTTTCTCGCCGAACCGGTGCCGCCGGCGACTTTTGTTGGTCAGCACGGCTGATGCCATTCCCATCCGAATCACGACAACGGCTGGACAGCGATACAGAGGTGCAGGAAATACCAATCTCATCTCAATATACTTACCGCTATCATCCTAATACTACTGAACTAAGGGAGAATCCCCAACACTGCGTGTGTAGAGTTACGAGTGGCATGCATGACCTACGGATATCGCGTCCAGTAGAATCAACGTAGTAATCAAGCCGGTAGTCTTATCTGAAGCTTCCCCGCATGCGAGTGCCGATTGCGTGAAACACAGGAATGATGGCTCGAAGGCTCGTCATTTGGGTTCCATTGACGTGATGGAGCCCATTGATGAGGGAACTATGTCCTGGACCGAACGGTATTATAACACCCGAAGCAAACCACTTGGACTGCTTCGTGCTCAGATCACTGAAAGGCATCGCACAGACCTCCTGTGATACACTTAATCATGTCCACGACAACAACGACTACGGCTGAAGCCGAACAGGCGCCCATCAAGTTGACCTTGGCCTACGATGACAAGATCCATGACCAGGTATCACACATACCATTGCTGGATGAATGAAAGACACTGACAATGACGACAGTACAAATACTCACAATACTTGCCTGTCTACGACGAGAAGACATCGTTCCCTCCTCTCCAGCCATTTGAATTCAATGACCGCGGACTCGTAGCCCACAAGGAGAAGCTCAATCTTTTCCCCAAAGATAACTCGACCATCAAGGCCACCAAGTTGACTCCAGTAATCGGCACTGAGATCCGAGGCCTGCAACTCTCTAAACTCGACGACCGCCAAAAGGACGAACTTGCCCTTCTCATCGCCGATCGCGGCGTCGTGGTCTTCCGAGACCAAGACTTCAAGGACATTAGTATCGAGAAGCAGAAGGAGTTTGGGAGTTACTTTGGACCTCTCCACATCCACGTAAGCATCTTTCTTCTCTCGGCAAGAAACCATACTGACAAGAGCTGCAACCAGCCCGTCGGAGCACACATCAAAAACCACCTCGAACTGCACAACATCTACCTCGGCCCCGACAACGAGTACCGCAACCGCAGCAAGAGCAACAAGCTCTCCACGATCGGATACCACTCGGACGTCTCGTACGAGCACCAGTCGCCGGGCGTCACGATCCTGACGCTGCTCTCCGTCCCGGAGACCGGTGGCGATACTGCGTGGGTGTCGCAGACGGCGGCGTATGCGCGACTTTCGAGGCCTATCCAGACCTTGCTGGAGGGTTTGAGGGCAGAGCATAGTGGTCACCCTCAGGCGGAGAACGCGAGGCGCGATGGGAAGTTTGTGAGGAGGGAGCCGGTTAAGTCGGAGCATCCGGTGGTCCGGATTCACCCGGTATGTTTTGACAGATTTGTGAGATGATGAGAATAGTTCTATACTTACCGAGGGACAGGCAACTGGCCAGAAGGCGCTGTTCATCAATCCTGGCTTCACGAAGAAGATTATCGGCCTTCGTGATGAGGAGTCGGATGCTCTCCTAAAGCTCCTCTTCAAGGTTCGACACCTATCCTCTACTCACGAATCCAATACTGACCAGGAACAAAACCAGCACATCACGCTGGGCCAGGACTTCCAGGTCCGCATCAAGTGGGAAGAGGGCACCGTCGCCCTCTGGGACAACCGCGTGACGGCGCACACGGCCATCTCGGACTACAACGTCCACAACCCGCAAGAGGGTCTGCGCCACGGGTTCCGTATCACGACGCTGGCAGACAAGCCAACGGGGGTGAACGGTCTGGAATCCACGTGGTGAGCCGCAGCATGACTGGCATTCGGTCCGTTACACACAGATCTCGTAATGATTGGGTTCGCAACTCGGATGACTCTGAAGTCTCTGCTTGCTTGTAGACCAGGGAAATGCCATGGAAGCTCCGGGAGTTGAAACGGGAAGAACGGTTTTTGCGGGAATGAAAGTCGACGGGCCTTTGCGTTCCCGCAACTTTCGTTCAGTAACCCAGTTGACTAGTTGGGCACGGGGGTGGCGGTAGAGACACTGGTGTATTTGATCTGTGCGTCTTTGCCTTTTTCTGTCGTGTGGGTGATGTTCCTTGCAGATAGCTTGCGCATTAGCAATGGGGAAATATTCCGCGGTGCGACCGAGAAAAGTGGATGAGAATTGATTAGCAAGATATCTGTATGCGTACCAATAACACGGCAGATCGAAGATTGATGGTAACGGCCGGATGTCGGATGGCGGTGTTGATTCACGTGGCTGTACCAACAGTCAGTCTCCTCTTCATTCAAGGACCGCTGGCGTGGAGCGTTATCCCCGATAGGTGGAGGGAGCAAGTAAGAGGAAGAACATAATCCCCTGATTTTCCGAGTTTCGATTTCTCATCAATGGGCTCGATTTCTCATCAATGGGCTCCAGTGTTTCGCGTCTCGTGCGACGAAAATAAAAACGGTAATTCTAGAAGAGACGCGTGATGCGGGTGGAGCAGTTGGGCATCGCGTGTTCCGGTTATCTCCTACGCTTGTGAGGAATTGAGGCTCAGTGCCGACTTCTGTCTCCGGCCGAGGCAGCGCAGACGCGGAATGGATGATTGTGTGACTGATGAAAAGCGGAGCCCGTCGCGGATGCCCGTAGATGCCAGACCACCGCCGAACCCCGTGGGAGCCTCAATCACCTCTCACGACAATCGAAAGGGGTGAAGAAGCCGGAGACGGCGTGGTGATGATGTGATTGGGCGGCATCGGGGTCCATGGCGGAGGCCGAAACAACGGGTCTCCCTCTCTCTTGATTTTTTTCTGTCAGGTCTCAACTCGAGACCCCTTTTCTGCGTCTCTCTTCCCCCAGAAGGGGCCCCGACTCCCCGAGTGACCCAACGAAAAAGATAGCACCGCCCAAAGACGAGAATCCGGGTGCCCCTCGGGGAACTTGTGCGGGCGTGCACCTTCGGACGGCGACCGACAGGCCGGTTAGACCTGTAGAATCTGGCAAGTGAGGTGGAAGTTTGGGGAAGACAGGCAGGACACGACAGCAAAAGACTGGAGATTTCTGGAGAATGTCTGGGGCTTGGCTGGAGACTCTGGAGGATCGCGAGGAGAGAAGGGCCGAAGAGAGGCCATGGCCGCGGTAACGTGAAGGAAATAAAAAAGAAAACCGGAGCTGGCGGGCGACGTCATCTGACGGGGGCGGGCGGGTTACGCGGGGGAGCCGATCTTTTGGATTTGATGTCTGTTTTCGACTGATCACCGGAATCCTTCGACGGAGGCACAACACGCGACACGGTCGGTGGTGGTTCAATCAAGAGTTATTTGGCGGCTTGGAAACAGGTGCTTGTCTGTGGTTTCCAAGACACTTGTTCGGTGATCGGAACTGGGAACAACGGCGCTTGGCGCAGGTCAGATCCGATCCACCCGGTCGGGAGCTTACTTGGCGTGATTGGCGAAGCGGCAGAGAAGAGAGGTGCAGGCAGGCGATGGATAGAAGTATGTACAAGCAGTGGGAAGAGGAACTGGAGATTAATTAGGACAGGGCTTGCTGCAGCCCGCGGAAGGATGCCGTCATCGGGTTTGGGGGCTGACTCGGTGTACCCTGTCATAGAAATTCAGTTGGGAAATACTTACTTTTACTAAACGGACTGTGTCACGATGGATGTTTTTAATGTTCATGCCAGCTTCTAGAAGAAGAATCACAACACAGAAACTTAGAACAAAAGAGCGCCTGACAGCTCAGCTAACTCAATCTAGAGGCGAACAGATGATTATGCTTCTTCAAACTCCACGGGCTCTACTTTTTACTGTCTGCTGTCAACCCCATGGGCACCCCGAAAAGAGAGAAGACAAGACAAGCTAGCATGCGAGCCAACTGCTGCTTGTTCCTGACACCCCTTGTCCCGGCTCACCCGGCACGCCCTCTTCATTAGAGCTGACACTCGCATGTATCTTTCTGGTGGAAAAACAAAGCCAAGTTACCAGGCACAACGGCCACCATCGGCTCCGACAGCAGTTGGCGCCTCGCTATTCTCACCTTTACATCATCCCACGCCTGCTTCCCACGCAGACCCACCGCTATCCACGAACGTCATACACTCGTTCACCAATCTCGAGACTGCGTTCCAGGGAACAATCGTCAATCGCCCCGGCTCAGAACCCCAGACCCCGGCCAGCCACCCACGGGACTCCCGCAGTCATTCACCATGCCCTCCTTCAAACTCCACATTTTCAAAATCCCATCACCACGAGAGCCGCATTGGTAATACCTCCGCCCCATGCCTCTGGTTCCAGTCCCCCAATCATCCAATCTCCATGTCCTGCTGGAGCAAAGCAGCCCGTCCAGGAGCTTCCAACAGATGGGGACCGGACCGATTTCATCGCCTGGAGACCCCAGAACCCGGACGGCTGCACCTCGGTGCCATCCTGTCCATCCCAAGTCATCGGGCACTCACTCACACCTCTCAACGCGGCCCTCGGCCCTCCTCTTGACGTCACGCCTCCTTACTAGCGAGACGCCCCCTACCGACTGCTCGTGTTGTTTCCGGCCCAGCTTTGCGAGCACCGTTCAATGCTCGTGTGTCGATCGACGAAACACACATATAATACACCCCGCCATGTCCCCCAAGAATACTTCTCCATGTCTCGGACGAACCATCCAAAAGGCACACAGAAGCCTCCTCAACCTACACCTACCTCTACATCAACACAGCCATCGTCGTCGCCCAACATGGGTTTCTCGACGATAGAATTCGACAAGTACAATCCCGCCTCCGAGAAGGCGAGCGATGCCCGCCAGGACCTCGCGCATCTCGACTACTCCCCGCTCAAGCGCATCTCCGGGCGATCATGGGCAATGGGTATCCTCATCTCCATGGGAGGCATGGTGTAAGTTCTAGCTAGACGGCACCTGGGCGCTTACGGACACTAACAAAACGCAGCTTCGGATATGACACTGGCCAGATCTCGGGATTCCTCGAGATGCCGGACTTCCTCGACCGCTTCGGCGAGCGCGATTCCCCGGACGCCTCCCCCAAATTTAGCAACGTTCGCTCCGGCCTCATCGTCGGTCTCCTCTCCATCGGTACCCTCATCGGCGCCCTCGTCGCCGCTCCCATCGCCGACAAGTTCGGTCGCAGGCTCTCCATCTCCTTCTGGTGTGTCATCACGTCCATCGGTTTCGTGATCCAGATCGCCGCCGAACGCAATTGGGAACAGATTATGGGCGGTCGTCTAGTCGCAGGATTCGGAGTTGGCGCGTTGAGTCTTATTGTCCCAATGTTCCAAGCCGAGACTGCTCCGCCCTGGATTCGTGGCGCTCTTGTCTGCGCGTACCAACTCTTCATCACTCTTGGTGCGAATCATTTCTTCCTGATCTAATTGATAGCCCGACTAATTGGTTCAAAGGCATTTTTCTCGCGGCGTGCTTCAACTACGGTACTGTGACGCACCAAAGGGACAGCTCGGCTTCCTGGCGCATCGTCATCGGCCTCGGCTGGCTGTGGACCATCATCCTCGGTGTTGGTATCCTCGCGTTCCCAGAGACTCCTCGCTTCAACTACCGCATCGGCAAAGTCGAAGAGGCCAAGCGCACGCTATGCCGTGTCTACGGTGCTCCGGAGAACCACTATGCTATCCACGTCCAACTTGAGGAGATTGAGAGCAAGCTGCGCGCCGAGTCACAGATCAAGGGAAGTGCCGTCAGCGAGTTCACCGGAATGTTCAAGGCGCCTCGCATGGCATACCGCATTGCTCTGGGAATGTTGCTCCAGATGTTCCAACAGCTGACAGGTAAGACATGAGAGATGTGACTAAGGGGTCCCTCCTGCTAAGTACTGATAGGTGCCAACTACTTCTTTTACTACGGTACCACGATCTTCGCGTCCGTCAACATCGACTCGTTCATCACGCAGATCATTCTCAACGCCATCAACTTCGGTACGACCTTCATTGGCCTCTACATTGTCGAGCACTACGGCCGCCGCAAGTCCCTCATTACGGGCGCTATCTGGATGTTCATCTGCTTCATGATCTTTGCCTCGGTTGGCCACTTCAGTCTTGACCAGGTCAACCCGCAGAATACCCAGGGTGCCGGCATCGCCCTCATCGTGTTTGCTGCTCTCTTCATCTTGGGCTTTGCTACCACTTGGGGACCCATGATCTGGACCATCCAGGCCGAGCTGTTCCCCTCCCGCTACCGTGCCAAGGCAATGGCTCTGTCCACCGCCTCCAACTGGACCTGGAACTTCTTCATCGGTTTCTTCTCCCCCTTCATCACCAAGGCGATCGACTTCCGCTACGGCTACGTCTTTGCCGGATGCAACCTTGTCGCCGCTGGTCTGGTCTACTTCTTTGTTATCGAAGGCCAGGGCCGCACCCTCGAGGAGATCGACACCATGTACCTCGAGCGCGTCACCCCCTGGAAGAGCACCCAGTGGGTGCCCCCCTCCGCTGAGGAGATGGCCAAGATCCGCAAGCAGGCTGGCACGGAGCTTGACCCCAACGCTAGTGACTCTGCTGCCGGCGAGAAGAGCGTCAGGCCGAAGGACCAAGATGGCGCTGCGCATCAGGAGAGGGTTTAGATGTAATGTGGATAAAGACGCGTTTCTTGAATGCCTAAAAAGGCTGATAGATCTGAAATAATGGTGTTGGTATGATGAAGTTGTATGGCATGGCATGGAGTTTAGGCTGCTCTGTGGGATTATATCTGGCGCATGGAGGCATTTTATATATACCAATTTTGACATGTATCTTTGATCAAAGCTTTGTTCGAAAAGATACTTTTATCATACTGGCTGTTGCTCTATGTCGCCTGTGATGACGATCTGATAGGAATATTGTTGCTCTTGGCAAGGTTTACACGAGAGCTGCGTGGTGCCGTCGGAGTCTCGGGCTTTCACCCGGGTCGGTAGCCAACAGAGCCCGAAAATGGTAAACAAGGCCCGATAGAGGGATGGTAGTATGAGTGGAGCAACGCGTTGATGTGATATTGGGGCTTCGCTGCAGCGAAGGAGTCCTCCCGAAGACGGAAAGCCTGAAAATGTAGCTTAATCAATGCTATCTCTCTTCGGCATAAGGTAGACGATAGATCATCCAAGCGAATCATTTCCTTCGCAAGTGCCTATCATAGCTTTTTTCCACATGTAGTAGATCGATCCGTTGCGTTACAACCTGGCATTGTGGTGAGTCAAGTTAGCGAGCTAGGCATGTGTGGTTGTCTGAGTGGCTTCAAAAGGGGTCCTGCCGCCTGTTTAGATCCCCCTGACAGGTAGTGGAAACACCACAAGGGCAAGGGAACTCGCACCAGAAGGTAATTGACCAAGCCGTTTCATCAAGTCTAGCAACCGTCGATAGCTAACTACGGAAAACAGTATATTTACGGATGTTCCAAGGCCTCAGGGTTTGGGAACAAAATTTCCAGCTCCATTTGGTGGGGAATCATACTTGATTCAAGTTGGATTTTCAGGTTCGTTCAACAGCGCTGGTAGTATGAGAGATCGCGGACCCCGTTAATCGAGAGATCTACATCGTTATACACGACTATGCGGACACCAAAGCACGCAATTGGAGGCCTGTTATAGGTGAATCGGGCCCAGAAGGTTCATAGCATCCCGACTCCGTCCAAGCAAGGACATTTTGATGCCTTATATGACAACGACCGTAAGTAGACAGTCGGCGTCGGTCTTGTCTAGCTCAGCCACTGATTGGAAGCTCCCGAATGCCGATACTTCGGGGCGAGTAGCAGGCCGACGGACGTCACTACGTTGCCGGCAATCAAAAGATATTCATAGCGAGTTCATCTCCACTTTTTGTTTCTTTGCTTCGATGACTAGCTAGCTCATCATGCAGTTCTGTTTTCAGGGATCGGGGCCCACTGAGATTCTTACCTGCGGTTCCGAACCTCGGGATTTTGATTCCCTTCCTGGAGAATCGCACTGGGCTATGGCGAAATTGTCATTGCCGCAATCGTGGCGTGACTGTTGAATAGGGGCATGTATTTTGAGCTGCAACTGAATTTCAACGATGATGTGAGGTCAACAGGAGGTTGAAAGGTCGGAAAGGGAAAACGCATATAAGGGAGCAGATGGACTGGTGGTAATAGGGTTATAGGAATAGGATCATTCGACCCGCCGCCTCGTCTTTTCAGCACTGATACAATTGTCGTTCACGTTTTTTCAGGTGCCATTGGATCAAACACACTCTCGTTTACGGAAATTCAATCTCAGGTCAACATGAAGATCGCAGCTATTGTGCCTTTTGTGTCCCTGGCAAATGGATACATCTTCCAGCCAGAAGATCAAGCCGACTTCAGAAACGTAAGATACTGCGACCCGTAGCTTGGTATTTTCAATTGACGTCTGACAAACCAAAGCCCAACATCCCGGCTCTCTTGAACTACACCGAGAGCCAGTATGATATCACCACCGGGTCCTCCTATTGGGCCAGCTCCTTTATCACTGGGGATGATGGTCGACAGTACATGACTCTGTCCCATCTTCTTACCACCATACCTTCTGTCTGCCGCTCGTCGATACTAGATCTTCAGACCAATGATTACTGGGTTGACCTTACCTACTGCAACAACACCGATGGCAGCGGTTTCGACAACGGTCTCCCCCTGAATGCTGATTATGGCACCTATGGCTTTGGTTCTACTTCAAACGACAGCGTTTCAACGATGTACACCTACGCCCACCCTGAGAAGTCTTTCTCGATTGATCTGGAATGGAACTTGACCTCTCGTGTTATGCTCAATGGAGGGGGTGGCATCATCCCCTTTGGCAACGTGCCGATCAACGCCACAGAATGGGGCATCCCCAACGGAAGAACCGCGGGCACGATCACGCTAAACAACAAGACCATCTCCGTCGACACCAGCAACTCGTTCACCTGGTACGATAGACAGCTCTCCCACGGAGCCCCGAAGAATTGGACCTGGTTTGAACTTCACTTCCCAGGATCGGACATCAAAGCAAGCATCTGGGCATGGGACCTTGTTGATGACGAGAGCACTCGCTTCGCAACCATCAGGGTGGGCAATGGGTACCACGTCCTTGCTTACGAGCTTTCACCCGACTACTCCAACACCTGGGTATCCCCAAACTCCAAGCTCACATACCCGCTTAGCTGGAAGCTCACCTTTGAGAACGGCGACCACTTAGTTGTTAACTCTGTGCGTCCGGACCAGGAAATGTATGGCGAGAAGGCATTGATCGACTCGGCTTACGAAGGGTTTGTTGAGGCTACCGGTTCTTTCTACGGATACACCGAAGCGTTTGGTGTCGTTGAGCTAGTCACGGCCTTCTAGATTCTTCTTCATCATGTGCTGGAAAGCGGTGACTGAAGACTCTGCAGCAGAATGTTCGAGTGTTTGCGCATCGGCATTTTTGTTTGCAGGCCGTATCATGCGTTGATCTAAGAATACATCTGCTTTCACTCAATCTGCAATAAACATCAGTAAACCACTGACCCTCCCAGCAATTCTTGAGACAAGGTCCACCCTATTTTCTTTTTGGGACAAACCGCAAGGATAAAAGTTTGCAGAGTTTTGAAGAATTATTGTTCCTTGCCGGTTGGGGCACCCCTACCCCTGTTGTGTAATCGGTTGAGTAGTTGATGCTTTCCAGAGAATAACTGAAAACCAGAAAAAGCCAACGCCGAAGAAACCATTGAAACTTGGGCACAACTTCTGGGGGGGATCAAGAGACCTTAATGATTTCAACCCATGAAAAGTGTCAGTGCGTCCGAAAGTGGAAACGTATCATTCGGGAACACAAGTGGTTCTGATCTGCATCACCAATGTGGGGTCACGGGACAATGGCCACCAGTGAGGTCGTGCCTCATGTATGAAGCTGGAATCCGACCGGGAGTAATACGCCGTACCCCTGTAAGGTTGTAACTGACGGAACGGACAGAATGAAAGCGATTGCGAATGGCAGCGGTTCAACATAAATGTATCAATATCATTCACGTATAAATATTTGAACAAAAGCGCCCAAGATCATGAAGAATTCCTCATCGAATATCGTTCCATCTTCTTCAGTTACCAAACATACAACACGATGTCGAACCCTAACCCCCATATCCTCATTGTCGGCGCCGGACTCAGCGGCCTGACACTTGCTCAGATACTGCGCAAGAACAACATCTCCTTCTCGATTTTTGAGCGTGACAGCAGAGCTGACGCCAGAGCGCAAGGTTGGGCCATCGCACTCCATGGTCCCATGCTGGCCGAAGTCTCAGCTTCGATGCCCGCGGATCTCGGACCTATCGAGCAGACCAACCACCTGAGCCCTCTGGATCACATTCCAGCGCAATTCGTCTTCTACGATGTCAGCAAGCCCGACTGGAGAGTTGGCGTCACAGATGATGAGACCGGCAAGATTGTCCGCGCGAATCGCCAGCGTCTGCGGGACTGGCTCCTCCAGCACCTGACTGTGCAGTTCAACAAGCGCTTGGTGCGCGTGGAAGAACGCGACGACACGGTTATGGCGCACTTTGAGGATGGCAGCTCGGAGACTGGCGACATCCTCGTCGGGGCAGAGGGAAGCCGGAGCTTGGTGCGCAGACACATCTTGGGCGGACAGGAGATCATGAAGCCGCTGCCCGTCGGATCCCTGATTGGCGAGATCGAGTTGACTGGCGATGAGCTCAAGCACCAGATCGAGCTGGGCCATTCGGCTTACATCGTTTTGGACTCAACGCCGCAGAATGAGGGGCCGAGCCAGGTCAGCCTGTTCGCCGCCTTGAACAAAATCAGCCCGGACAAGAAGACTGGGTATTTCTACTTCATTCTCCACTGGATCGACGAGGAAGCAGCGAAGAGCACCGAGGAGAAGCCGTTCTGGACTGACACGGCGTCTGGGGAGGAGCTTATGGCATTTGCGAAGAAATGCACCAAGCAATACCCCGACGATTTGCGCGTACTTGTCGACAAGGTACCGGTCGAGAGATACAGACAGCCCGGCATTGTGCTGCAGAGCGTGGAGTTGACTGTTGATCAGCTCCCCGCCGGGAGGATCACTCTAGCTGGAGACGCCGCACATTCGATGACACCATGTGAGTTTGACCGCTTCAGTGAACATATAAAGATTTCACAGCTAACAGCAAATTCCACAGTCCGAGGAGAGGCTGGCGTATGCGCAATCACAGATGGTTTAAGACTGGGTCGCGCCATTACCAGCATCCGGGACGCTGGAGGAAAGAGTGAGGATGTAGTCAAACTCATCGCGGAGTATCGCGACGATATGATCACGAGGGGTGCTAAAGCCATTCGCGTGTCTAACCCAGTGCTAGAGGACCATGCAAAGGACGCCAAGTATGAGTTTTATACGTGTGGTAAGAAGGTGTTGCCTCTCGCTAAGGAAAGCGTTACGATCTAAAGACGAATGCTATGAATGGCACCTGGGATTACGTGTGTCCTTTAACGGGCTGCGTTGGAAAACTGTTATGTTAGCCTTTCGCCCAGCACTTGGCGGCTCAAAATCGACCTCATTTGGAGGTAGCAGTCCACTATCCAACGGACGTCTATAGCGTTACCATAGTTTACATGTGCTCTTTACTGCCTCAAAATACTATCAAAGCTTACTTCTATCCATCTGCCAAAGCCGGGGCCTTCGTAGTCTCTCACACTTGGAATGAAAATAAAGACAGAGAAATGCAACAAACCGCGGATACCCTCGCTCCTATAATTAGTAGCTGTTCGGCCAGAACGCGACCTTTCAGACTGGCCCGCGCAAAGATCCTGCAAGCATTTATAGCTGAACTTGCGGCACTCTCTTTTTGTACAAAATGACTGTCTGCGGGTCAGGCACGAATCGGTGCTCATGAGCACTCCTTGGTGGCTCGTTCTCGTAGGACCAGTCGTATTTCATAATCAGATGACAGAGAATAATCTTGATCTCGTTACTAGCGAAGAACCGCCCAGGGCAAGCATGCTTCCCGTGCCCAAAGCTAAGGAAGTGAGGGCTCGTGGTCACGAATTGCCACTTGTTTTCCTGGCCTGGCTGTTGCCGCATGCGTAGGAACCTGTGGCCATCAAATTGATCTGGGTTCTCGCCTAGAAACTCTGAATCGCGCATGTGAGAGACAGGGACACCGAGAAGAACACCTTTAGGCAGGTATGTGCCATCCGATAGGGTCATTGGCGCCTCGACGCGGCGGTTCATCATATCTGGTTGTCCGAGATGTGAGCGACCGTGTCTTATCTGGAAGAGGAAAGACTGCATGCCACTTACGATGTCCCAGGATGTTCAAGCGCTGGCTTTCCTTCATGCAACTGTCCATAAGCTTCATCTTATGAAGGCTTGTTTTCTTCCAGCCACCATCTTCTTGCAAGACTTGAGCGATTTCCTCTCTAAGAAGGCCGAAGTAGTTGGGGTTATTGATGAGATCATACAACAGTGCCGTTAGGGCGGAGGACGTGGTGTGGATAGCCCCAAAAGTCAGGAAAAGCTGGCCCTTCACAATGTCGAAATTGCGATCTCCACGGACGTCGTCTAGCCAGGAGAGCGAATCTTGGGGTTTCGTGGATGTTGAACGGGCGGCTCTCCTCCTCTCCAGTTCGGGAAGAATAATAGCGCGGGCTTTTTTAGTGATACCCTTGATGTACCAGAGTTCCGGAAGGAAGTGATGAACAAACGGCCGCAAGATCGCCGGCCAAGCTCTGAGGCTATTTCCTGAATGCAATGCTACGCCCGTGAATGAGATCGAGATGTCTATCCATTCGGGCTTATGACAGAGCTCTTCGCCAAGGAAGGTGAGGGCCGACAGTCTAGCCGCAGCTTGAGCCGCCGTCATGTAGAATTGGATATGCTGCCATTCTCCTGTCACATGTGCTCGTTATTAGACGACTAATCAACCGACTAACATCAATGATTGCATTTGGGGTGCTCTTACCGTTTCCTGTTGGTAAGCCTTCGTCCAAGACTGCCGCCGCCTCATCAGAGAGTCGCTTTGTCAAGCCTCCGAGCGCCTGGGTAAGGTGCTTTCGAATCGTTTCCTGAATGATCTCTTCCTTGGTGCTGAGATGTAGGGCGTCGAGCCCAGGATAAATCGTCAGTTGTTGCTAGTGGAGAAGAACAGAGCCAAGTCAGTGCAAGAGCGGAAAAAGAAAACAAAAAACTGCTTGTTTCAACCCACACGCTCCAAGAACCCAGCGAAGGTCAAACGGGGATCGTTGCGTATTTCATCGGCCAAATCCAGCGGAATCATGACCAAAGGACCCGATTCCGTAATAACTTGGAAAGGTCGTCCTGCTGTCTGCAACCTGATTAGATCGAGTGCAAAAACATACTAGGACTGATCAACCCCCCCAGAGAGTTGGCACACATACTGCTTTGAAACCTTCCTTGATAAGTTTGAGGGGGTCGTCTTCCCACCTCTTCAATGCTGCGGTGTTGAACCACTCACCCGGCTCTTTACCAACGAGCTTAAATCCAGAGAACGGTTTGCCATCGCGAATATACCAGCTGAAAAGAGAAACCAACCCAATGACAATGGTTGGAAGAAACCCGTTGGGCGTAACTGCGATAAGCTGTCGAAAGGTTTCCATGGCGTAGGAGTCTTTTTGCATTCCTGATGAGTGCGACACCAGGAAAATCTCAATGACTGACAATGCCTATGTGTGTTACTTATAGCATCGAATCCTTGGCACGCAGCTTACTCTTCTTTGCGGAGAAGAGGGGTCTCAGTCCGGACACAACAACCCAGCTTGCGGAGCGGACCTTCGGCCCACTAAATACAACATTGGACCGGGTTCTTTGATCGGTCCATTCCGTAGGTATGCTGCTGCTGAGCAATGACACTGTTAGGTGGCGGGGTGTTGACCACCGGACTTGCGGGATGCGAGCCGTCCCGACTGTCTTCTTATATTATCTTGAACTAGTCCGCACATGTAAGGCCGTCTACCACCTTCATCCTTCCGCCAATCTCAACAAGCAATCATGAAGATCCAGGGACGTACTTTCATTGTCACAGGCGGGTAAGTCAGCCACTGCTCTTGCCTGCGTTCTCATTGCTAAGTTGACCACCCAGGGCCTCCGGCCTTGGTCGCGGTTGCGTGGATATGATATCCGTCAAGGGGGCAACGCTGCGGTCATCGACACCGACTGCAATCTCGGCACCGCAGCGACTACGGAAGTCGGACCTTCGATGAAGTTTCTGCATTGCGATATCACAATCACGCAGAGTGTCGCAGATGCTATCAAGACCACTCTAGACTGGGCACAAGAGGCCGGCAAGCCCATCGGCGGTATCATCACTGCTGCTGGAACTGGGTCTCCGTGCATGGTAAGGATTTCCACCTCACCCTGCCGCTCGAGAGGAGCGAAGTTTTCTCCCTAGCAAGGAGGCTAATATGACTTTAGCTACTGGATTCAGAGCGCGTCCCTTGCTCTTATGAGCACATGGAGACCGTTCTGAACGTCAATTTGCGCGGCACCCTTGATCCCATTCGTCAACTCCTGCCACACTTAGCCGCTGTGTCCCGAGAAGCACCGGATGGGGAGCGCGGCGTTGTGATCATGGTGGCCAGCTCCGCAGCTTTCGAAGGACAATCTGGCCTGGTAGTCTATTCGGGTAGTAAAGGGGCAGTGGTATCAATGACGCTGCCCATGGCACGAGATCTTGGCCAGCATGGAATTCGGGTAGTTACGATTGCGCCGGGCTTATTTGAGACGGGCATGACCGCGCCCATGCGACCACAGGACCGCGAGATGCTGACTGGGGCTATGGAGTTCCCTCGGAGACCAGGAATGCCAGAAGAATTTGCTAGGCTTGTGAAAGAGGCGATAGAGAATACCATGTTGAACGGTGAAGTGATCAGGCTTGATGGCGGAGCTAGGTTGCCGAAGGTTTTCTAGCTCACCAGGGATGAGACAGAGGCGGCGAATTTTAATATTCAAATAACTTGAGAATTGAAGAGTGCAGAGTCAGGCAGATTGCGTAACCATAGTCTCGGCACCAGGAATCAGGGTTTAGGTTAGGTCAGATAAGAAAACAAATCAGAGAAGTGGCTCGAAGAGATGAAAGTCCGCACATTTTGTGTACTGTAACAAGTGATAGGTGTAGAACGGAGGACCCATATCTGCCGTCCGCTTGCGGCAAACACCTTCGCCTCTGCTGCCGCCTGTCTGTAATGTTACCGAAATACCTGATGTGTGGCACATCCGCATCAGATTGGGTTTGCATGTGTACTCCTAGCTGCTCAAGGTTGGATGGCGCAGGGATCCCACCCCTGGACTAAAGTCGTCGTGTGGAGTGAGTCCGAATGACACCGGCTGCTGTGCGGAGCGGGGACCCGGAAGTGGGTCCCGCATTTACTAGCCGCAAGGGCCGAATGAGGAAAACCCGACCCGACAACACGGCCACTCAGACTTGAACAACAGTCACTATGACTTACCACCAAAACAAAGCTGGTAGGCTGAGCTACAGCGGTTAGACCCGATTTCACGAGCCTTCTCCTGTGCTGTTCCTCTCGTTAATGGATTATCCTGCTCGGCAGCTTTACAGACTCGCCGAACGACAGCAAACTACTGCACTTGTGGTGGCTCTTATGGCGAATCATACAATGTTGCTGACACCTCTCGGCCCTTAATCAAATCTGGTGTCTACCCTTGCGGTGGATATGATTCAACTTAGACAGCTTGCAAAAGACAAGGTCCTCATGGCCTAGTCAGGCATGGGTGATGGAGTCCACATGCCCAGCTCGAATAATTGCTTGTGCCGTCGGCCACGGCTTCCTTCACAACTAAACGACCCATTTAAAAGATAAAATAGCCTTTCTTGGACTGAAAGTCCGCCAGATGAATGTCCGCCCAGATCCCGGTTACAACCTGGAATGTCGGCGCAGACCCTGCGTGAGCAAAAGCCTCCTTGGCCGCTAGTACTCCAGGTCATCGGCGCCAGCACTTCATCAAGCGGACTTCATGCACGGACAACAGATTATGGCGAAATTCATTGAGAAGTGAGAGCACCGACTGTACATCATGTGATGGGAATCGTATGATATTTCGCACGTCGGCTCGATAGCTTAAATTTCGTGACATCTCCCGAGCTGCAAGTCGAATGCCATTCATCTTATCCAACTTTAGTCCCACTGCCTCTTTACGTACTCTAAGTCCGGAACAGCAACCCAACGACTTCTGCGCAGCGAAGCTTTGCAAAAATCTTTAACGCCATGTCTCATTACGCCGCAGCCCATCAGAACCCCCAGGGTCCAGGCGACGCACGCCCCACGGCTCTCCAAATCATCGAAGACGAAAATCTCGTCGGACAGCTGGCCGGTAAGACAATCGTCATTACCGGCGCAAACCAAAGCATCGGATTGGACACTGCTCGCGCCCTCTACGCGACCGGCGCGTATATCATCCTAGGCGTTCGGAGCAACGAGAAGGGCGACAAGGCCATAGCCGACATTGAAAACACCCCGAATCTCCCTGGGAGAGGATCACTCCAGGCTGTCGTGCTCTCACTGAACTCACTTGACTCCGTGCGCAAGGGTGTCGAGAGTTTCCTGGCCAAGAGCGGGGGCAAGCTCAACATCCTCATTAACAACGCTGGTGTCATACAGCAGGAGAAGACGAAGACTGTTGACGGGTTTGAGTCACACTTTGGGACGAATCACGTGGGGCATTTCCTTCTCTTTCAACTGCTGCGGCCCGCGCTGCTGGCGTCTGTCACTCCGGAGTTCCACTCACGCGTCGTGGCCGTCTCCTCGATGGCTCACCGCGCGAGCGAAATCCGGTTCCACGAGTGGCCTATGGACACTCCAAAACGGCCAACATTTACTTTTCAAACGAGATTGAGAGGCGCTACAGCTCCCAAGGTCTGCACTCGCTGTCTTTGTATCCCGGATCTATTATGACGAACATGTCTGCGGCGCAGCCCGTCGACGTGGAAGCTGCGAAAGCGGCGATGGGTGAAGAGCTGTTCAACAAGATGATGCGCATCCTCAAGAGCCCGGTCCAAGGGGCTTCCACCACTGTCTACGCCGCCATCAGCAAGGAGTGGGAGGGAAGAGGTGGCAAATATCTGAGCGACTGTGTCGAGGCTCACCCCACATCTGCCGGTTACAACATGATGTCGACCGACACGGGGTATGCGTCTTGGGCTTACGACGAGGCAAAGGCTGCATTGCTTTGGAAAACATACCTTGCGCAGAGTATATGCTGGGAGGCAGGTCATTCTGACGTTTGTGAAATAATACACACTCCACGTCGTCGACCACCTAGTCGCTCCATTACAAAGCAGCATTTATTTCATCCCTATTGTTGACCACCTGTTTAAAAATCCACGTCATCGAAACACAGTTCTTCCACTGCCTTAATCAAAGGCTTCGAATTTTAGATACCTAGTCCAAAAGATTGATATGCGAGATTATAAACCGCGTTGCGGTGTAGACCCAGAGTTCCCACTCTGGTACAATGAGTGAACCTGATTTTCTACTCCTGTTTCCATTGCACAGACGTACAAATGCCTCGTCTCAGACTCCTGGGGTCAATCAAGATCCAACTGCAACGACCCGCGCCACCGACTCTGTTTCGCCTGGAGACGCTGTGGTTTCTCTCGCAGCTGGCGTCCCATTGGTCGTGGTATGGGAGATGTTTGGCTTCCCTACTCCCCGCGCGCCGTTATCAAATCCATGACCACCATCACCACGTCGCACTTTGAGAGTCAAAGGGCTTCGCGCCGGCTTTTGAAGCTTCCTGGTTCGGCCTTTGAAGCCCGTTCACACCACACTTTGCGGTCGAGTCAGAGAGACTACGGCTCCACACTAGATTCTTGTTTCCGTCTTCCGCGCGGCTTGTTCTGTTGAATGCTTCTCCAAACATTTTACACATCCTTGGAGACGAAAGTTCAGATTACTTCATATTCGCTGCATCCGTACCTCCGACCGATTCGTGGTAGCGTTAGCTAGAGAAATACAATACAATTCATATTGCTCTGTGTCGTTCCACATTGTTGTCAGAACAGCGTCCCATCCTAGGATCAACCACCAACATGGCGGAGGGCAGCACTTCCCAATGACAATTCATGTCGTTCACCAAGACTTACCACCACAAACCATACGACCTGATCTCTCCCTCTAGACCTGAGCTCTCAGCAGCCGGCAAGAATGTTGTGATCACTGGCGGCGGCACCGGCATAGGAAAATCGATCGCCCTTTCTTTTGCTAAGGCTGGTGCGAGCTCCATCTGCATTCTCGGCCGACGACTCGACCGCCTTGAGATCGCCGTGGCAGAGATCCGCAGCACCGCCAAGCTTGGAACTCAAGTTCTTTGCAAGAAAGCGGATCTCTCAATTCGCGATGAAGCTTGCGCAGCTATTGATGAGATTTCATCAGCGGTCGGAAACATCGGCATCTTGGTTTCTAATGCTGGGTTCTTCCCTAAAGTTGGCGGCGTCGTCCATCAAGGAGCGGAAGACTACATGGAGGGTTTCAAGCTCAACGTGGTCACCACGCTGCACGCCTTGCAAGCTTTTGTCCCCCATGCAGCCCAAGGCGCCATAGTGCTGAACATTTCGACATCTCTGGCTCACATTAAACCGTGGGCAGGACACTCGGGCTACTGCGTCACCAAAGGAGCAAATCTCAAGCTTGTGGACTTTTTCGCGGCGGAGAATCCTGACATTCACGTTGTCAACGTTCAGCCGGGAGTCATCGAAACCGAGCTGAGCCCGCAAGGCACTACCTTCAACACGACTGATGATCGTAAGTACACCAATGCATGAACACGACTTCACCCTGCGGACAAACCTACGCAACAGCGGCACTCCCTGGTCACTTTTGCGTGTGGCTAGCATCTCCCGAAGCTCGATTTCTCAAGAAAAACTTCGTCTGAGCCAACTGGGATGTCCAGGAGTTGATGCAACGGGCTGGAGAGATCGAGTCATCTCACCTTCTTACGTGGATTATTGACGGTGTTCGAATATGATGTCACTCGATGCTACCAGCCAGAATAACAACTGGTCAGCACATAGATCTCAGCTCAGCGCTAAGGACTTCTGCGGTCATGATATGATACATTGACTTGATTAGTTACCAATGAGGGACTTTGCGTATTGTCGGATCGCAACTTCCTCGAAGTTTCCCAGCTCGACAGGTACATCCTTTTGGCCCGAACCAGGGGGCAGGATGTCTCAACCGTTTTCTTCTGTCAGATGAAGAATGGGCATCTTCATATCTGTCGGAGTCTTCCTGACTTGCCAATCTCTTCCTGTGAACTGCTCAACTTTGTGCGCAACATCTCCAAGCGTGTACCAGGCGTTGGCAACGGTAATCCAGGTGTCCTTGTACTCCAACGGTCTGTCAAAAGTAGCAGCTAGCACACGACCGATATCGTACCGCAGTGTAAATGAATGTCGAACCTGTCCGCTTCCTCTGACGGTAATGCTGAGTGCATTCACGTCTGCGCCCACAAGTAAGGGCAGAATATTGTCAAAAAACCCGCTGGCAATCACGGTCCAGCCTGCACTAGTCATAAGTACTTGTTGGCGGACAAGGCATAGCGCCAAGGGGATTCGCAGTAGGCGAGAAGTTCAAGAGGGGAAACTAACCGTCGGGGAAGCCAGCATCATGGAGTATCTGCCGCAATTCACGCGTGGCGGTAAAGAAGTCCGATTTGCCAGCGTCAGTGTCCGGATGCACACCATATTCACTGGCAATAAATTGTTTGACGCCTTGATCTTTCGCTTGCTGGATCAAGTCCAATTGGGCAGCTTTCCCGTGGAGACCTGAAACTATGAGCACGACTTTTGCTAGCGTAGCCCATACGACATACCAACCGTGGAAACAACAACATCAAAGGTTTCAAGCGACGCAAGTTTCTGCGTCTTAATTCCTGCGACAACCTGGCATGATTTGTTAGCCCTCCTGTGTAGGCCACCGCCTTTGGGCATGCGGCGGATGTGTACGAACCGTCTCTTGCCGTGAAATTGGCACAACGTCAAACCCTTCTTCAGCGAGCGCTCGAGTCACTGGCTTGATGTCAGCATCGGCGCACATGTAGCACACACCCGTATCGCGGGCGGATTCCTCACCTTCACGTCCGACCCGACCGGTCGCACCAAACACCGCGACCTTTCTGTACCGAGTCATCTTTTCCAGGTGGTGTCTTCGGCAACGTCTATGATCTGCTGTGATAGGAATCGGACACTAACGCTTGGCCTTGATAGTGACGCTAGAGTACAGGTGTTCACCGCGATGCCTATTAGTAATGTCGCGAAGCTACATGTAGACTTAGTTTGCTTTACAAATCGTCAAAGTGCTTAATAATTGTGGAAGCGTAATAACAATCGCTCAAGTACCAGGTCGTACAATAAACGACCGGTACTTATTTTCTACCGATTGGTGAACTTTGCGGAGGACTGGATTTGGAAAGCCTAAGGTAGAGCTTCTCACCGATGTCAAGCACGCCATTGCTCTCGAACCAGATGGGCTAGAGCCACCAGACAGACCCTCTACAACCTCGGCAAAAGGGAAGGAATATGAACGCTAGCCTCATAGTTCACATTCGCAAGTAGAGTTTTCACAGGACCACATCCCAGGCAACTCTCGTTTTGTTCCTAAACGTAATTCACCAGTAGGTGAAACGGGGCTACAGGCCACGCAGAAATATTCGGGGCCCAAGTGTACATGGCTTACACGAGAAGAACGAGGGATGGTCATTGTGGAATTCCAAAGAAACGGATGTACAAGTACCCTCAAAAGTAGCGATAGTCCACATGCTACACCTACAACACTTCATTTGTGTTGCTAGAGACAGCAAGCCCCATTCTAAGCATAGAAGCTATGGAATCTCATACCATGTATAAGATCAACCAATATTTACCTGAAAGTGGGCCAGGCGAACATTCCGCACTCACAGGCACTTACCTTTGTAGAATGCCTTCAGAGACTTCCTGCTCGATGAAATTCATACTGTATGAATCTGCAAATGGCTTCGTGCAGTAAACATGTGGGTATTTGATTACTGTTCTTTCAGATGCTACAGACTACAGCATAGAGACCCCTAATTGGGACGAACGAGTGTCGATCTTCACCCTGGTACTCTGATGAGTTCAAATCCCGTGATCAGTTCAAATCCCGCGATCAGTGCAGGTTCAACTCTACCTCAGTAATCCAAATTGAGGGACCAATGATTACAAATATAATGGTCAACAATCACTACATTCGTATAGCAATGGGATCCGGACCTGCCAGATTGCACGACCAACCCCGTCGAAGTGTCACGGCCTAGAGCCCGGATTGATATCTCCGGCTTCGCCGGAGCAGTTACCGAGATCCGGCTCCGTTTGACCCACTATTCTGCCGCAGTACGCCGCCTAACCCGGCCTGCTTCACCGCTGTTAGGTGCCTACCCTTGTAAAGTCCTTTCTTCCTTCTTCAGCTTAGAATAGTTAATCGACGGCACCTCTACGCTGAACAAGCCTAGGGGCCAGCCCCTTACATTAAGAAACTTCTTCTTATTTAAACTTATTAAAAGGTTTTTAATAATATATTAACTAATAAAACAAAATACTAAAAAACTTAAAAACTTAAGATCTAAATTATATTTATATATAAAAATATTAAAAATTAGCTTTATGAAATGATAAGTTATTATAAATATAAAAATATAAAAAACTAAAAAAAGAAAAATATTATAACTATATTAACCTTTTTTTTAAAAAAAGAACAGAATATTTTTTAAACTTAACTAAAAATATTTCTCTTTTTTAAGAATAATTCTATGTTAACTTTATAAAAAAGAAAATATGTATATCTTTTTTGTTATTCTTTTTTTATATTTTTAAATAAGAATTAAATAGCTAAAATAAAGTATTTTTTTAAAGTTTATAATTAATGTTATAATTTTATTATGAACTTAATTAAGTTTTAAATTCAATTTATAAAAGAAAATTATCATAAAATAAAATTATAAAACAATATTATTAATAATAACTAAACTCTTTCTAAAAGAAAAAAAGGAGATTTAAAGTGTAAAATAACTTTACTATTAGAATAATAAAAAAGAAAAAGAATATAAAATATAAATATATTTTCTAAATAAAAGAGAAGAATAAAAATAAAAACAATAATAAAAATATCTTTTTCTTTTTTTATTTCTCTTTTTACTTTTTATCATTGTTTTAGATTTACATTATAAAAATTATTTTATTACACTTTCTATTAATTTATTTACATCCTTTTTAAAATAATATTATTACATTTTAAAACTTTAAAAGTTTTAATTTTAGTTTAAAATAAATAACTTAAATTTAAAATAATAAATAATTAAACTAACTTAGTTATTAATAATATTTTCATAAGTCTTTTTATAAGTCTTTTTTTTAATTTTAATAAAAAGACTTCTTTTAATTTTAGATTTAAATTAAAGTTTTAAAGTAATTATAAAAACTAAAGTTTTCAAAACAATAACTTTTAGAAATAGTGTTTCAAATATAAATATAATATTTAAAAAGAACTTTCTAAAAAATGAAATAATATAAAGCTATTTAAATTATATTAAATTCTATTAAAAGGTTTTTAAAATATATAGCTTAAAATTTTAAAAGTTTAAAATATTATAACTTAAAATAGCTAAAATATTGTTTTTTATTCAAAATGATATTTTAAACTCTTTTAAAAACTATAAAGTAATGATAGAAAGAATACAAATAACTAATATTTTAAAAGTATTAAATATTATTTTCTATATAAATATATATTTTCAAGTTAATGATTGAATAAAACTTAATAAGAAAACTTAGTTATAAATAGAAACATATTTTATTTAATATTATAAAGCTATAAATAAGAATTACTTAGAACTTCTGAATGACTAAATTAATTCAATTATTTCTATAATTTCAATAATGAATAATTTAAATTATAAAATAGCTATATAACTTTTATAAACGATTGATAATATTTAAATTACAGCTATAGAATATAACTTTAATATTATAACTAATTATCAAATTATTCAAATAATTATATTGAGATTTAATTAATTAACTTTAAATAGAATAGCTTTATTTATAGGAATTAATATTTATAAGTTATTTAAAAAAAATAGGTTTTAATAAATTCAAAATTAACTTAATAAACTAGCTTAATTTTAAGGTTACTTAAAAGTAAACTTTTTAGATTATTATTTCTATTTATACTTTATTTCTTATATTTCTAAAAGTTCTAAAAAAGAAAGTTCTCTTTGTTTTATAAACTAAAAGAAATAAAACTGAATTTAATTAAAATATTAAAAGCTTTTAAAACTAAAATTTAAATTAATAACTTTTTAACTTAATAAAAAATAATAAATAATTGAAAGATTATTTATTTTTCTCTAGTTATAAAAAACTATTATTTAGCTTTAGTTTATTTAGTTAAAATTAATAAAGAAAATCCAAAACTTTTTGATAAGTCATATAGTTAATATTAATATATAAGCTATATAAATTATAATTTCAAAAAAGCTATTATTTTTAAAAGAAAATAGCTAATAAAAACATAACTTAATCTATCACTTCTGAAGATATTATTCTTATAAACTATAAAATGATAAGTTCTTTATTTGTTTTTAGATAATTACTACTTTATTATAATAAAATAATAAACTTAACTAAAAAGCTATTATTATTTATTTTAAAAATTAAAATAACTATAAAGCTATAAAAGCTTAAGTTATTAAGATGTTTAAGTAGAATTTTAACTAATTTTAGTTTATACTTATTAAAATCTTATAAAACTA